GAAAATAAAATGGGGAATTATCAGGAAAATTAATGCTAGATAAATCATGGTTATCGAGATCAATAGGGATTAGGCATAGGAAATGAACACGGAGATTTAAATTCATGGAGATTAGGATGGCCAAAGATACTGTTAGGACACTTGAACAGGGACTGCTGTAAGGCTAAACTAGTGAAAGTAGGCTGATGAGGAGAGAGTGAAAATAGATAAGCAGATGGGAAGAAAGAAAAAAATAAACTAATGGGAACGAATAAGAGAGGTCAATGAAGAGAAAAAAAAAGAATAATAGTAAAAGTATGTGGGAAATAAAAATAATATGAGATATCCCTCTGTAGGCGAGGTGAGGAGAGAACTTAACTGTGAGTGGAGACGAGGAAATAGGAACTACTAAGGGGAAGACTCTCAAGTAGAGAGATAGAAAGGGACTCTTGGGACGGAAGTAGGAAAAAAAAGGAACCAGAATCTAGAGGGGAAAATCTGAAAGTTATCATGCTTCTTTGAGGTAACATTTGTTAAATAACCATTTATAGCAAATTCATTAAGTTATACATCATTAACGGCCAGTCTGTGGTGTGTGAGTGGTCATCATATGGTCGGATATTGCATAATAAATTGATATGTATAGTGAGTGTCCTGTGCATGATAATTTTTGTGTATTTCTTAATGCTGAACTGTGTGCTCCAGTTGGGACTAGTGTGTGTGGCCATTGTTAGGGCCGGATAAGTTTATGTTGGTGTTAGAGTACTCTGTGCATGATATTTTTTGTACGTTACTTGATGCTAAACTATGTGGTCCAGTTGGTAGCGATGCATGTGGTTGCTGTTAAGGCCGGATGGTGTTAAATTTTCCTTAGATGGTTGTGCATCGGAAGGGGATTATATGCTAGTTGTAGGGATAGCGGGGAGTGCTTTCAGGACAAGAAAGTGTGGTATAGGCAGTAGACAGAACTACAGATTATGATTGAGAGGGACAAAAGAATCTTGGGGAAAAGAAGATCTATGGTGAGGAGAATAGTGCTACAAGTACAGGGAGACAGAGTGTGAGAAGATGGGAAGAGAATGAAGGACGGATACATAAATCTGGCAAGACTGGAAAGTTGAGGCAAGTCGAGTGAATTCGAAAAGGAAGATAGACTAGGAAGGAAAATCTCTAGAGTAGTGAGTGAGGTACTACCTGATGCAAAAAGGGGCTGGGATGGGAAAATAGAAAATCTGGAAAGCAGCAAAAGTTTGCAGAGACACCTTTACAGAGGGAAGAAAGCGAATAGTAAATTCTTAGACATGAAACATAGGGGAATTTAGGGGAGTAATAGGGGTGAACAGTGTGGAATTTTGAAGTGTGTAGAGAGGTGAATAAGAGAGGGTATAGGGATGAAACCAAATTTTCGAGGCAATTGTAGGTTTGAATTTTAAATTTGACTTATTGGGCATGCCAATTCATTACTATTTTATTTACAGATGCAGTGAAGCAGAATCATATTCAGGAACTACCGATAACAGATCCCATTACCTAGAGGGCATAGAGGGTGCTGAGAGGAGTAGTCCAGGATATAATACCTTCACATTTACCCGCACACACTTAAAAACAAATTTGGTATATTTGTATTTTGAATATTTATTTTT